GCTCGTTTGCATCAGGAGTCTGGGGAGAGATGAATAGAGAGGCACAGGAGCCGTTGCACGGGACATTGGAAGTTTGCTTCACAGGGAGGGCTGGGATGACTGGGCTTGGGACTTCTCTGATCTCTGCTTTCTTCCTGTGAACTAGGGGTGCTCAGCCTGTTTTCATAGGGTATTGCATATTTTAATGAAGAGGCTGCCTACTGGTTAGCCCCTCTCCCATCACCATCCTATAAAGTGGCAACTAAGGCAGTTGTTCATGTGGAAAAGTGACCCTCAGCCGGTATTGATGTATTTTCCCTGACTGTAATGTGATGTGGCAGTGGTAAGCTGAGGAGGAGGAGCCACTGTTGTGTGGCCAGCTGGGTCAGCCTGTTACTGTCAAGTGCTCCACAACCCACCCATGTTCCATTGACTGTAGCATGTGAACAGACTCTGTCTCCACTATCTATTCATTTCCTTAACTATATGCCCACCCCACACACACACACCACCTTCCTCTACCTTCTTCGCCCCTCTTTTTTTCATCCCTCTTTCCTCAGGATTTCTGATTTGTCCTCCCTCTTTGATTTTCCTTCCTTCCTCGCTCATGCTCCCTCCCACACTCTGCAACACCCGCCCCCCCCCCCCCCCCCCGCCCCACGCCCGCGCCGTGGCTGCACGCGCCGCGCCATCCCGTGAGTGGGCTGCAGCAGCACAGGGAGGGGGTGGGGGGCTGCGAGGGGTCTCGGGACCAGCGAATCCCCAACAATGAGGGTAGGACGGGACCCCAGGGGTCACATCCAGTCCAAAGCAGGACCAGCCCCAAGTGCATCATCCCGCCCAGGGCGTTGTCTACCGAGGATGGAGACTTCAGCACCACTGCGGGGACCCCGTCCCAGCGCCTCCCCCCCCGCTCGGGAGAGAGCTCTTCCTCATACCTAACCTCAACTTGCCTTCCTGCAGCTTGCGCCCATTGCTTCTTGTCCTGTCACCTGCCCCCCGCTGAGACCAGTCCCCTTTGCAAGCCCCCGAGTCCCTTTCTGCAGAGCTGCTGCCCAGCCTGTTGGCCCCAGCCTGGCGCGGGGCGGGGGATTGTTCCCTCCCCAGCGCAGGGCTGTGTTGAACCTCATGGGACCCCTTTTACCCCAATCCTCCAGCGTGTCCCGGTCTCCCGGAATCCCAGTGCCTCTACGGCCCCCCCAGCCTGGGCTCGGCTGCAGACTGTCCCGGGGTGCATCGGTGCCATCGTCCAGGCCGGTGATGAGTGTTGCAGAGAGCCGCCCGGGCACTCCACGTGCTCCCTGCTGCCGCCTAGACGCAGAGCCACTACTCCCTGCCCTCTGAGCCCAGTTGTCCACCCCCTTCCCGTCCAGTCATCCAGCCGCGCTTCCTTCTCTTGCCTGCGAGAAGCAGGAGCCGGAGCCAAGCCTTGCTACAGTCAAGGTGCACCACATGCCCGGCCCCCGCATCCCCAGAGCCGATCACCTCGTCATGGCAGGCAGGCAGGGTGCTCGGGCATGCCTTGCCCCGGGAGTCCCTGCTGACTGGTCCCGACCACCTTCTCCTCCAGGTGCTTAGCCTTGAGCATCTGCTCCCTGGTTTTCCCAGGGACGGAGGTGGGGCTGGTAGTTCCCTGGGTCCTCCTCCCCCTTCCTAAAGATGGGCGCTGTTTGCCCCTTTCCAATCGTCCGGGCTCTCTCCTGATCACCATGTTGCTGACGGCCAGCAGCTCTGCAATCACAGCAGCCAACACCCTTGGGTGCCTCCCGTCCAGCCTCATGGACTCGGGTCTGCCCAGCCTTTCTAAGCAGTCCCTAGCCTGTCCTGTCAGCACCGGGGCCTGCTCCCCTCCTCCCCCCGGTGCTGCCCGGCGCAGCCGCCTGGGCGCTGCCCTCGCCTGTGCCAGGGCGGCGAAGAAGGCATGGAGCACTTCCGCCTGCCCCGCATCCTTCGGCACCGGGCTGCCCCCCTCCCCGGGCCTGGCCCTCCTCTTGTGCCGACACCCCTCTCGTGCCCCTTCAGCTCCAGCTGCGCTCGGCCTGCCTGGCCGCCTCCCCGCCTGCCCAGCCAGCTCCGACACTCCCCCGCGCTCCTCCTCCTCCGGGTTTCCTCCTCTTCCAAGCGGCTGTTCCGTGAGCTGTTCCCGAGGAGCTCCCCGCTGAGCCCGGCTCCGCCTGCGCGCCCGCCCTGCACGCTCAGTGAGGCTTCCTTGAAGTCCAGCCGCCTCTCCCCGGGCCCTGGCCCCGGGCCCCCGCCCGGGGCCCCCCGGAGCCGTGCGCAGTCTGCTTTGCTGGAGCCCGGGGTGCTTCCCCTGCGGCTCTCCGCCCGCCCTCTCCTCAGCACCCCGAGCTCAGTGCTGTCGCGGGCGCTGCTCCCGCGCTCCACGCACTGCTCCTGCCCGCGTCCCCGCGTGAGCGGCGCGGCAAGGCCCGGCCCTGCGCCGCCGCTCCCCGCTTGCACCACGGGGCCGCCCCCACCGCCGTGCGAAACCTCCCTGCGTGGCCCGGCTGACCTCGGGGGGATTGAAGTCCCCGTGAGGCCCCAGGCCTGTGCCCGGGAGCCTCCCGCTGGCGGCTGGGGCTA